GATTCAAACTGTCCTATTTCCACTTCAAAAGAGAAGAGGCACTGAGCTCTTCCCAACTTATCTTCAAACGCCCAGCACCCTAGAAAGTTTCTTTAAAAAAAATAAAGTCTCTAGTTCCCCCAAGCACTGTACCCGTTACTGTAGCTGCTGTCTCTCCCTCTTCTAATTATACCCATGTGAGTCTATTAATCAACTTGTAAATTATTTAGAGAGCCATGCGCTGTCTTCAGCCAGTACAAACACACTGCATGCAAAGGCTTGCTGAAAACCAATGGAGCTCCCAAAGGGTCTGTGCAATGTTCAGACAGCTTGCAGCTCGCCAGTACAGCAGTCTTAAAAAACAAGAAATAACACTGAGCTTACCCCCTCAGATAGCAAGATTTACTCAGCCTTTCAACTCTGAAACTCTCGGCGAGTTTTTAACAAAGAGGAGCTGCTCTATTGTCAAATCTGTGTTTCATGCTCAGTGATGAGAATATTAATTTGATGTCAAAAAAAAAAAAAAAAAAAAAAAAAAAAAACCACACAAAACCAAACCAACCCTCCTCGAACTGAGCAAAGTGTTTTCAGTGAGGCTGTGATCACAATCACCAGGGGACCCCAACTTTCAGAGGCTACACCAAAAAAGTACCCCTTTAAAACCACTGCAATTTAAAATAAGGGGAAATCTGTATTTGTACAAGTAATAGTTTTCATTAGGAAACAGGAGAAATTAGGGAATTCCAGATTTTACCCCCTACGTGCAGACTGCCATTGGGGACAGCTTCAGATACTACAACTTAAAAAAAAAAAATAGAAAAAGGAAGAGGGAAAAAAAACAACACAGGTTGTGTGTGTTCAACTCTAACAGGCTGCAAACAGTGCAGTGTTATCTGTGTTCCATGAATCACTTCTCTTACCTCCTGAATCTTCATTTTGGTGGGAAAAAACCCAGTTACCCAAACTAATAGCAGTTCTCCCAGCTGAAAAGTGAATCTTACTGGTTTGGGAGTGTTTTATTTTTTTCTTCATGCTGCCTTCGTGTCATCTTACTTTTCTTGGCTCTATTTATTACAGTCTCACCAACAGATAGATTAATTAGCAGTGATCATTCCATGCAAATTCACCACAAAAACTGGACACAGTGACATGCAGATTTCAACTGACTGATGGCCTTCCCTATTTTTGTGATGCCCCCAAAATGCTTCTGCTTATCTTTCATTAATACAATGCAAACACCAGGAACATTCAGGTGGGGAAATCAAAAATTCTTTCTGCAATTTTTTTTTTTTTTTTGTTCTCCCATGGTATCAAATTCTCACAGACATCTTTAAGATGATGAACAAAGATCATGCAGATGGAACTTTTAATTAATGTTTGCCCATGTTTTCAGTGAGACATGTCCAGCAGGCTGGACAGAATTGGAGCAGGAATTCTGATTAAAGGTCTCCTTTAGGCCTGTGGGGTCTAAGAAAGACCTTTCTGAGCAGGCATCATCTGATCATCTGTCCACTGGAACTGCTTCCTCAGAATATTCCAGAAGGAATCAAACCAAATAAATTAATTTATGGGACTTGTCTTGCTGCCTGTGGGGGGGTTCTGGCCACTGCACTCACCTCTTACTCCATTTCTTCCCAGCCAAGCAAATGGTGTGTGCTGAATTTACATTATTGACCAAGAGTTAATCTAACTGGAGTTGGTGACCAGAAGATTGGTCTTAGACTCCAATGTTGGTAATTTTCTGCCCAGAGTATAGTTAATAATAACTACCCAGTACTCAGTGAAGCTACAACATCCTAAAGGAACAGTCTCTGCATTTCAGAGTGGTTGTCCAAAGCACAACTCTATGTTTATGACAGGCAGAAAGCTGTCAGGTTACTGGATTTATCACCAAAAATGCATTTTTCAATATCTAGTGTACACCTATTGTAGACTAGAATGTCCTGGGAATTAAAAAATTAATGGGCTCAAAAACATCTATGCTGCCTTCATTAGTAGAATAAATCACCATATACAAAATTGAGGATTTTGACAAAAAACAGGTCTTTATGAGACAGCAAAGACTAGAAAATACAGAAAATTGGATTACTGGGTTGCCTTTTGGGGGGAACAACAGAATTGTCTGGGCTGTTCCTGAAATGCATGGTGTACACATGAAGCAGCAGTAGAGGAAAAACAGCACGAGGAATGTTGATGAGTCCTAAAGCCATGAAGAGATCTGGGTTAGCCAAGCAGAACTGGAGCAGCACAGACAGTGGGCAGCCTCAATAACTCAATAATGAGTCAGCTTTGAACAGGCTGGGCTTGGAGCCTTGTTACAGCACCACAACACGGCCTGTTGGCACATCTTAAATGACTAATTGTATGCAATCAGTGGTGTCCACAAGAAGGGAAACACACTGAGATCAATCCCTTGGGGGAGCATTTTAAGAATATATGAGGCATGTCCTCAAGATTTTCTGGCACTGCTTTCGTTTTGACAAGTAATGATTTGAGAACAACATTTTTCCTGGTGTGCCTTTGGTTCCACTGTTCTGTGCCAATGTCACTTGCATGACTCCTCACCCACAGGAACAGCTAAGCCTCTTTACAACCAGAAATGTAAGGAAAAGATTGAAGTTCTAATTGCTTTTCCATTTACACCACTGTCTGCTATTGGCTACACTGAGTCTTTGCAAGTGAGATTTTCTGGAAACTCACTCAGTCAATCATGGCAGGAGAATCTTTCCCCTGTTTTAACCTGGGCTGCAGCAAGAGAGCAAAGATGTAAAGATTCTTTGCCCACCTTTCCTCTTCAGTACTCGGTGTTATTCCATTTTCTCCAAGCCTCTTGTGAGGGCAGTAATGAATTCTTGTTAGTGTTTACTAATGTAAATTCATTCTTTGTTATCCCTGGGAGAGGAGGATTAGCAAAATGACAGAACTTATTATTTCTGGTTTTGCTGGATGATATTTATCTTTATTCAGCCTTTAATTTTGTGCTGTATCCCACCAAATAAAATATATGTATGTGCATCCCAGCAAATCTAAGGGAGAATTTTTAGCATAATGCACAGAAATATAGTTATGATCCCTATTAACATTCAGAAGTGTTGTACAGCTTTATCTGTGCATGCTGTATTAAAAAAATTAATCTAAATCTGAAATAATTTCTAATTTGGAGGAAGAAAGGAATTACAACTTCAATTTCCTTTTCCTGAAATGAAAGCAGCTCCCTTGGACTAAGGATGTGCATATTTTTAGGACTGGCTAAAAATTATGATCTGTGCAATTATTTTACTCTACTGGGAATGCATCTCCTTTAAGGAACTTTAATGGTTAAGATGAAGTTTATAAAACACACAAAGAACATTTTAGTAAAGGAAGCTCTTAAAGGAGCTATCTTTGAATAAACAGCTCATCCAAACTCCCATCTCAGCCATAACTGAAATTTAGAGAGTGAGGTATTTACAATCCTCCCCTCCACAGAGACAAGCAGGCAGTGAAATTACAGCATGCACATAAGAATCTGAAATTAATGGATACCATGAAAGACAGGCCTAGAGCTTAAAAGGATCTCCCTGTGTGAGTTAAACTCAAAACCAGCCACATTCAGGTCACCCAAATTCCACGGGGAGGAATTATTCTCACACCTGGAGACTTCAGACCCACGGCACAACACACTCTGAGATCTCTTCCCTTTGACTTCAATGTCCATCCTGGCTATCTCTGACACAGAAAATCCTCTCCTAGATCTCTGTGCCCATTCCAGAGGAGCCAGATTCTCTCTTCCAGGCTGCAGAGATCCCTGCTCTCCATCCCCATGGCTCCCACAGCAGCTCCTGCTCCCAGCAGTCAATGCACTGAGCTGGGTGACTGCACGAGGAATAAATTCAATCCATTCACTGCAGATGAAGTTCAGAGTTAAAATCCATCACCCTGTGGCCTGATAAAGTGCCTGACAGAGGGATGGCACCCCCAAAAACTTTATATAAAAACTTTTATAAAAGTCCTGCATCTCTGGGTCTGGTATCAAGGGAACCTCAGTTAATTTTCAAGGCTAGTGTTTCAGAGCTGTCTAATTCAGCCCCAGAATTAAGCTACTGTGCAAAAAACGAGAGAGATTTTCAAGCTTTTCACCTTACCAAATACATTTCTTTGCTAAAAATAAAGGACAATGAAGATTTCTCTTTGCTCAGGGGGGATTTGCTCAAAATTCCATTAATACTGAAACTTAAGTGAGATTTCCCCATCTTCAGCACGATTGTCTCCTTGTGTTTGTACCACTGGAAACCATTTGGGCTGTTGCCAGAAACAGCACTGAAAGTTCCTCTTCCAGGCCGTTGCAATTTGGCAAAATAAACATTCTTCCACCCTCCTGCAACACGATTTCTTCTCTTTAATTACAGGTTTTCTCTGATTTCTGATACCCACCACACACAGGCAGCAGGACAACTGTAACAGGCAGACAGGTTTAAGCTGCTGCCCCCAGGAGTTTTCAGTATTTATGATTTATCTGCAATCCCTGCAGAACCTTCCAAAAGCAAAGTGTACTCAACATTCGTCGTGGCAGTCCTCCCATAACCAAAAATGCTGATAGAAATGAAGTACAAAGAAATTTTAAGTTTAAAATATTTATATTAAAGTAAACCATGCTGGTATTCTAAAAGTCACCATTCAAATATAAAATGAAACACAATATTATTGTGCTTTGAAAGCAGTTTAATAGTGTGCTTTAAAAATAGGTTTGAACTGGTATCAGAATTCTCATTTTGATTTAGAGATTAAAACATGGAATTCAGATTTCAGAATGTGCACAAGAAATCTTAATTTCATTGGAACAGTGAATATCTGTTTTGAGGATATAAAAACCCTTAGAAATCCAAGTTTTGTAACACAGTGCTGCAAATCCCATGCAATAAATACAATTAATTGACTTTCAGGCTACTCTGATTAGAATCTGACCAACAAAAATTCACTCACAATTTGGTTTTTGCTACAAATTTGTAACTACAAAGTAATGAGACAACAATGTGCCCTACCTGGGCATCCACTGTCAATGTAAGGCTTAACGAGTTCTCCAAGTTTTGTGTTGTCTGCAACAGCTTCCTTTAGCAGTTGCCCACAGCAAACTAACAGGAAGGAAGAACAAAAAAGACACAAGGTTAAATTTTAAAAAGGAGGCAACAAAGAAAAGAAAAGAAAAAAAAAACCAAAACAACCCAGAAGCTGCATACTGGAATAAGGTCACTGAATAAAATAAAAGTTGTATGTTTTTTGAGTTTGTTGTTAGGGTTTTGTTTTCTTTTTTTTTTTGGCCAAGTAGAATGAAAAGCGAGGAGACTGAGGATATGGAATGAAAAAAAAAAAAAGAAGAATATATTTGGCAAAGAACATATTAAAAATGGAGAGAATGATATTAATCAAATATATTTCTGAAATAACAACTCAAGGGACTGCTAGTGGCTTTCACTTTTTATAAACTTGTAATTACTGAATCAAGTTCCAGCTGCTGAACAGCATCTGAACCACGCTGCTGGAGGTGCAGCATAATGCTCACTTCAGGAAGGGCCTCCCTGGATCATTTAATGATCATGTAAGGATTACATTTAAAAACCTGTGCTAATGCAATATTATCATTGATTTCAAACACCCAGAACACCAGGAGATGCAGATTTCAGGTTTGAGCCAGGCCAGCTGTACATGAAATATTCCTGGTTTGGGTTTGGACAGCACTGGCTGCCCCAGGTGAGGGAGTTTAGAGAGAGGGAACCAAGACATGGAGAGATCACACAGCAGCAGAAATCCTGGTTATAACTCTAATTTGGTAAATATTAGCCATAGGTCCCCCTGGAGAATATTCAATTAATAATCCTAAATTGATTCCTTTCTTCCAGGAATCAATAGCAGCAACAGGAAGTGACTTTGATGGGAGAAGATGGAGCCCTTTAATCATTTTATTGCTGTTAATCACACTGCCAGGCCAACAGGAGTGAGAGCCCCCCCAGCAGTGATCCTGGGACAAAGCTGATAAAATTCAACATTTAAGGGACAATTTGAACAGTCACCACTTGTCCTGGAGAAGCAAATTCATATTGATAATAAATAGTGTAAAAACATAACAGAAACTCAGTGCACAGAACCCAGTTTAAGACACCTAATAAGAACACACCTACATTTCAATCCAATTCATGAGACTATTTAAATATAGATTTAAATTTTTGAGTCTGTGCTTCAAGCCCAATGGCCTAATAGAAATAAAGTGTATGCTGAATATTATTCTGAAAAATGATAGTCTTCCAGTTCTCTATTAAACACTTAATTCTTCTAATATTTGGGTTACAGAATACTTAAAATAAAATTCAACATATGAGAAAAGCACTGGTAATGATTTTTAATAAAAAGAGCTGCAACTCTCTCTCTTATTGTAGTTACTTAAAAAAAAAATGCAAATTTTGACCTAGATGGAACACTATGAAACCTGCAGTTTTAGAAAAAAGTTGAAAAAAAATTCAAAAGGACAAGAACAAAATCATTTTTAATACATTCAAGCATTTTTTTTCCTTTAAGCCAATCACACCATTAATAAAAATACAGCTTTGAATAAACCTACAAATATTTAGTTTTTCACATGATGTTTTAAAATACAGCAATGGCACAATAACTGACAGCAGAAATATTCTATCAAACCTGCCTTTTGCTTAAGTAAGATGATGTGACTAATCAGCAAATTTCACAGTTACATCTGTTTAAAATAATTTATGGCTACTCCACTGTTAGGAGACACTACAGAACATGGAAAATATTGCACTGATGTTATTATCACCAAGCTGCACTTTTATATTCAGAACTTTCTAACATTTAAATGCTAACCATGAACAAGTCTCATGCAGAATTTTTTGGACTTCCTTTACATAAGAAAGATGAGGCACTTTCAACTAATTCCTTCATTTTCTCACACATTACTTGAGGTGTGCAGAACCTGAGCCTTCACTAAAGTTCAGAGTAAATTCGATTTTAAAAGTGCCCCAATTTTGGTCAGACAGATGAAACTGCAGACGTTACTCAGGATCCACTGATCCACAGAAGAATTCAGAGCACTACAGGGGTCTAACAATAGAAAAATACAGATGTAAAAGGTATAAAAAAATGATGAAATGATGACTAAAAAAAAGCCTTAGAGCTGGTTTGTCACGGCATCTATACTTGGTTTACACTTCTTCATTCAAATACTTTTCACTTCCCTCAAAAATTTGACATCCACAGCAATGGACAAAGTGAGACATTTTATAAGCAAGTAAGAAAGACAGCTAGCAAAAGATAAATGATCAAAAAGAGAGAAAGGGGGAATTGAGCAAAGTGCATATTTACTGAGAACTTACTGTTGACAACATCATATTTCTGAGCTATTAGTTCTGCCTGCAGGCTCTTCCCACTGCCTGGGGGGCCAAAAAAAAGAATCCGGGGTGTGAAAGGGGCAGCAGAGCGGTGCCGGGTTTGGACAAAGGCAACAACTAGAACAGGAGAGAAAGGCAAAAAAATACAGGTTTTAACCCATTTCTTGTTTAAAAAATAAATATTGATTAACTACTCTTTTCTTTAAAAAAAAAAAAGTAATGTTGATCATGGTTTATTTTATCACTGAAACATCCAGACTCTGCACCCAAAATCAGGACACTGATAAAACTGTCCTTTCAGCAATTTACTCTGAGAGGCATTTTAGAAATCTCAATATCATTACACTCCTCTTTCTTTCATCAGTGCCTGTCAAACCATTTTAAAGAGCAGATTCAATTAATAATTGCTCTCTTACCATGTTGTTTTTAGCAGAAGTAATTTTTGCTTGATAGCTACAATTTTACCATGCAAATTATAGAGGGATGTAATTACATTTAATACTTTCTGCAGTTTCTGAACAAATATTTAAGTGTAAAAACTTGGGATGTTAAATTAATGACATTTATCCAGCTGTGTGTGATTAAGGCTCCTAATTACAATATTACAGACTTGTAGCACAGTGTGTCATGACACTGCTCAGCCTTGACAACACAGAACTGAGTCTGGATCTTTTATTCTTTTACCCATCCTTTTTGTGTAACTTGTAAAGAATATTTGAGCTTCTCTCCCTAATTCCACTCATTTTCTGGACATCATCCTCCTGAATTTTGCTTTTAAGCAGGAAATAGCCCTTCAGGTCAACCTGCAGGTTTGGAAAGACCACGGGACATGTGAAGCATCATCAGCACTGCCACATTATAGAGACCTGGACTTTGTTACAATCCCAAAAGAGAGATCACCAAGAAGCCAAAAGATGTCACAAATTGGGATTGTATTTGGACACAGCTGTGCCCATTTGATGGCTGAGAATACCAGAGAAGGGAGCAGCTCAGGCCATGTTAAGTTTTCCAGGGATCAGTCAAATGCCAAGGCTAAACTTTCTGGCCCTGATCCCCCCTGCCATGGCTGGCCATGGCTAAAGCAGCAAGGACACAACTGCACAGGCTCTGATTCCTCGGGGACTGCAGTGGATGCAGCTAAAGGTGAGCCCTGATAAACTGCAGCTCTCTCAGTTTTTGTGAGATCTTCAGTTCCAATAAAAGACTCTGTAAATTAGAGAGTCCTTGTGTTAAAAAAACAGTATTTTAGGCTAAGGAATAGGACAAGCTTAAACATGACTGTTTGTATGAGACATAAGCTATATTTAAAAAGCACTAAAGGATTGGTGGGGAACATCCTGAGGATCAGGATTTTAAGTGCCATTGTCAACACATTGCTCTGTACCAACAATTTTTCAGAGAACCCTCCCTTAGGTGCTTTGGTATGATTAGAAAACCTTTTCTAATAAAGAAGCACCTCCAGCAGACTCCAGTTTCTACACAGCAGCCCTAAAGAACAGAGAAAACTAAAACTGCAGCCACAGGGGATTGTTCCTGCAGGGCTGCAATCCTGCACTGCCCAGCTGAACTGGGTGTCACATCCCACACTAGGGCAGCAGCAACTGCATTCCAGTTCACAAAATGTCATAATTCTGTGAAACAACCCACAGCACTGCTCGTATTTATGAGAGATTTCTCTTTTTTTAAAAAAAAACTCTAGCTGGGGCAATAAAAATCTAAACAAAAAAAACGTGGAAAATCCTACCAGAAAAGAATGTTTGCTGCATGGCTTCCTAAACCCCCAGCATCAGCTACCCGAGCAGTGCTCCAGTTCTTCTGAACATTTTCCACAACCCAGTGTATTGAAAAGCACAAACATTACAGGCAAAGCACCCTGCTTACAAATGATGCTTAATTTGCAGTAAATAACCAAGTTAATTAGGAGTAATGATCCCCTAGACAGTCTCCACATCTAATTATTCTTTTAAAAAAATCTGGCTGCTTGATGCACTGCAGAAAAAAGATCTAGAGAGGATTTTTTCATTCCAGTTTTCAATTTATCTCACTACATTATTAATTAATAATAATTAATATTCAGGCACTCACATTTTTATTTACAATTCAAGGCATGAATTCTTTATGAATGATGATATGAACTTTTAAATTTAATTAAGTAATTTAGAGGTAATTAATGTGTAAATTCAGAATATAAACTTCCTACTTGTTTATCTTAAAAGTGCAGCACTTGTTATTAAAAAAAAAAAGACCTTTTTGAGATGCAAAATTCCTGGGATATAAGAGATCATCTGCAGACTGACAGCTACAAAGTACATCATCAATTGGTCTTTCTGGCAGTTTCCTTATTCTCTTCTAGAAGGATCAACATTAAAAGTCAGATTGCATTACAGTCAAGCAAAGGCAAACAAGAATTGTTGAACAGGAAAGCTCCCAGCACAAACAGCTTTTAAACAGTGAGATGCTCCCAGCTTTGAACTGCTCCTCCTTGCTGTTCTCAGACTTTGGAAGGTCCTGGTCCTTTGGGAGGTGAATTGAGCCACAGGGCTCCCTTTGAGGAGAGGCACTGGCAGAAATGATGGTGACATTTGTCTGCTGAGTCAGCTCTTCCTTGGCAGGACTGTGAGCTAAGAATTTCCAGTTATCTGCACTTACTCCAGTAAAACAATTACCAGGAGCAGCCCAAATGCTGTTCTAGAGAGAGCACAGCTCAGCTGGGAGCCATCTGTGCTGCCTAATCCTACAAAGTGACTCTAACAGCCAGGAGCTACCCCTCAAACAGGACTTTCTCGACTTGCCACAAAGCACATATTTACCCTGTGAGAGAACATCCACGGAGGGCTGGTCTGCATTGATGGATTTCAGAACTTTCTGGTAGATGTGGAAAATCTCTGGGAAGTTTCTGTGATATTCCAGCAGCTTCTTGGACACCTCCTGCTCAGAGACATCTTCTGGTTTCACCAACCTCTCCTGCACCAGGGGGTCACTTGGCCAGTCAAAGGTTGTGTGGAAAACCTCTACAGGGAACACGGTTAGGAACTAAGAGCATGATTTAACAGGTCTCTAGTTAAGAATGTCCCTCTTAATTCCACTCCTCAAAACATCCAGCCTGATTTTTTTTATTGAGCAATGTGAGGATTTTATCTCGTGATGGATGATGATAAAAGTCAACAGACAATACAGAGCTGAGTGCATTTGACAGTTTATTTTATTTAATAGAAATTATTTTATTTAACCTAATGGAAATGATTTTATTTAAAACATCCTAAAAGCATCCCTGCACCTCAGAAACAAAGCAGGACCTAGCAGAGATGCACAGCAAACTTAGAAACTCATATGGACAGATCTAACCTTTAAATATTCTGTACTGCCATAGTTTGCAGGCTCAATACTGAGCTTTTTATTTCCCTGCATTTCACTGGAGCTGAAAATAATGCAATGTCAACAAATACCATTTCCAAACAGCTGAAATTTATAATCATAAATTCCTACTAGTTCTTAAAGGCATCCCATTTAAATTTTAACCCCATCAGTAGTACTGCAAGGTTTCTGAGACCAAGCAACACTCCAGTCTGCAGTGGAGGTCAGGAACAAACATACTGCACCTTGTGTGAGGGGATCAAGCCTTTTCCCACCACTCCTCTCAATCAGCACAGTGTCTGGGGCATAGAGCATAACTAGGCAACAAAAAAGAAAAAAAAAAAGAAGAAAAAATTTTAAAAAGTGTAGTTCTTGTTAATTATTTGCTTTATTGCCTGTAACTGTTTAGATGTATCCTAATATTAAAGGTGGCTGGATTTATCTCGAGCACATTTGTCTCGTTCTCATTTCCCAGCATTCTCCCTGCAAATATTTTACTTCATTTTTGAATCAGAATTTTGCTTCACCTACTAAACAATACAGCAGGATAAAATATCCATGAATCCAGTACCCATGGGCACTAACTGTCCCCATTATCCAAAAAACATCACCACCAGCAATAAAAAATTGTCTCTGGAGCTTCAGACAGAAGTTCCCACAGAGCACTTGAGACTGATTCTCTTCTACACCACAAACCATTACTTTTCAGCCAGGTACTTCAGTGGTGACACCAGTGAAACTGATTTTTTTTTTTTTATAATCTCACAGAAGAGTGTTCAAACTTGATTAGAAAGCATCAAAAGAGGAAGAATCTGTCAGTTCCCTGGGTTGCTTTTGGCTAATCATCCTTGCAGGTAAACACTGTAATTTAATTACTATTTCCAGGGCATTTGATTACAGGTTTCAAACAAGTTCTTTGTATGACTTTCTTCTCTGTATTAAATGGCTTTTTCAGGCACTTTTCTCCCTATTAAGGTACTCACACACTGTAAATCTCCTCTCCTCTCCTCTCAATCTTCTTTTTGATTAACTAGACAGACTGAGCTTTAAGATTCTCATTCAGGTCTTGGTGGCACAGATATAATTGTGAGCAAAACTCAACTTCAGATGTTATTAGGTATATTAAAAATACATGCAAGTACTAGACATTAAACATTTTTGCCTAACTCTGCTGCAGTGATTCTGAGTTCTTCATTAACAGCTGAATATCATCCAAATCAAATCCAAAGTGACAATTCATCAAGTTGGATAAATTCAGTTCACTGTGCACTGGCACGGTCTGCACTTATCATTTCACACTGCATTCCACACAATTGCATTATTTTTTTATATTCTAAATAGGTCCTTTAACTATAATTTGGGACAAGTGGCTTCTCCTGTATGGCAAAATCTTTTCTAGCAGCCCTTTGCCAGCAAAACATTCCACCCTAAACCAGCCAGAATCCATCCCCACTCTGCAAGGTCAGGTTTAAAATCATCATGTTTCCACTTCACTTGGTGAAATTTACACTCCCTAATTCAACAGAGGCATCAATTTGTGTTTAGCACGTGAGGAACTGGCTTAGCCTGAGGATAAAAGCTGATTTTTAGAGATGGAAGTCAGGAGCAAAGCTACTTGTAGCTGCACTTGGTGTAGAAATTGTTGGAATTACAGAGCTCTGACCTGGAAGGAGGAAAGGGTGTGAAAGACAGGGCTTAAAGTTTCCCAGGTTTCCTCAGGCTTCCAACCCTACTGAAATATTCTGCTGTCTGGTGACTCTGTCTCCAGCATTGGTATTGAATCTATTGAGGATTTTTTGGGACAAACCCTTCTAGTCTTTCCTCCTGGATGCAATCACACACACAGTTTGTACTGCTTACCAACATGCCTAGGAAAAATGCCAGATGATTGCAGTATCCATGCCTGTTCCTGATTTTCAGGGAAGCCTTCCAAAATCCATCCCTATTGAACAAAAACATGAAACAGTTATTGATCTTGGAAGAGAAAAAAAAAAACCAACAAAATTCATACAAAATCTCAGTGCAATCTACACAAAAATTACCTCATTCTTATCCCTCCACAGCACAGTATTTCTCATGGATGCTTGTGAGAGAAGAAAGCAAACATGGAGCACTGATATTTTTGTGAAATGCATGCACTGATTCCACTGCCACACAGAACTTATGGATTGCAGCAATGATTTTTTTTTTCATGTTTCAATCTTAAAAATACTAACAAACCAACTTCTATCTCAAATAAAAACAACCCAAAACAATTTCTACAGTTTTGAAATATTCAAAAGGATACCAGCCCACACTGTGTATATATATATAAAAAAAAAGGAGCTAAACAAATCTAAAGACAGATTTAATGCCAAGAATACTGAGGAAAATATGCATGCTTTCATTATTTTCTTAAATTATACAGGAAAACTCACAGTAATGGAACCAGCATTCCCAGAGCTAATGAAGCAACAGAGCAAAAGAAAGCAAAAAGAAAAAAGAGCCTTTTGCTCCCTTAAGTCCTTGTTATAGCCAGCTAAGTGTTGGATTGAGCATCTTTAAAAAAACATTTAGAGATGTGTGAAATACCGGCGGAGAGCTGCAGCCTCACTCAGTTTTTGTCTGATGCAGTATTTGAAATCTAATCCACTTCCCAGGCTCAAGCCTGAGTCTCCTGAACTCTCCCTAATTTATCTGTTAGTTGCCTGAGCACACCAGTCCTTGCTGTTATATCCCACCCCTCCAAATAACTTGGTGATACCGCAGGAAATCTGGGAGCCATCTTCGTGCTGAAATAAAGGAGATATTTTAATATTGCATTAGCTGGCAATCATTATCATCTCCCATATAAATCTGGTGCTCTGTCAGTGTGGGGTCCAAAGGTTCTCCAAGTATTTCAGGGAAATCTATCTCCAGGACTTCTGTGGGAGGCAATGGGCTATTCCAATTACACAAGAAAATAGAGCAGACTATTTAAAATTCTTTAATTAGCCTGGTTTCAGGAACATGTCATCCTGCTGACAGATGTAGAAAATACTAGACTCAAGTAACTGCAAGCCATTTTTGCCACTCCCAGTGTTTGCTCTGCCAAATTAGAATGAACCACTGGCTAAGGTCACACAGGTGCTGAGAAATCAATTTATCCCTTGGGACTTTGCACAAGGCAAAGCTGCACAATGTTTGTAGTGCTATGCCAGGAACTTCAGCTCCAGTTTGGAATATATTGTGTTTAAAATATATATATATATATATACATATAGGCCCAGATCTTCTAGGGAGAAATGGCATCTGAGTTCTGAGGCAAATAAATCGATGCCAATTTACACAGACTACAAATCTGGCTTATTTTCTCCACTCTGAGTGCAACCTTTTTGGAAATTATAACAAAACAAATGAAAAAAAAAGCCCCCCAAACCACCCCACAAAACCTGAAGTCACTACTGCTTATGGCTCAAATCACAGAATGTGCAACAGGCAGTAAACATAATACCATAACAATCCACAATCCATACTTTTAACAATCCTCAGCAAACTTCAAGAGGTTTACATACTAATTTCAAAGGTCCTTAAAACAGGCAATAAGCAATTTTATAGCAAAAAGTTTGGGCTATTTAGGAAAACAAAACTCAACAAATAGCTTCCTGCAGAAAATATATTTAAAATGCAAAATCAACACAGAGTACAAAAGCAGGGAGCATTTTGGAGCTGATTTCCAAAGGTCTCTGAGTTGCAGGGTATCAGTCAGTCCCTAATTAGAATATATTATCCATCTACTTGACACTTCAGTGAAATGTCTATTCCAGCACAGAGCTGCAGCTTTGTTCAGAACAGGTTTATTGATATTCTGCTGCATTCCCTCTCCATACCCCCAGTGGCTCGGTTCTGTTTTATCACACATCAAAAAGGCCGTATGCTCAGGGCACCCCATGCACAGCTCGGAGCTGGAGGTCTGAACAGCTGCAAGTAGTGTGGTATCACAGGAGGGACAAGCTCCAAGCAGATGTCACAGATAAAATAAAAAAAAAATAAAAAAAAACCTAAACCATAGCCTTGCTCACAAGCAGTGAAACCAGTGCTGGCAACAGGGAGATGGGTTTTGGGGATANAAAAAAAAAAAAAAAAAAAGAAGAGTGAAAAGAGAGTGTGGCTTGGGAATGGAGCAAGAGGAAGCAAGACACAGCAGAGCAAGACCTGACTTAAAATATGCCTATCATGCTTTATGCAAACACTGGTCTTTTTTTGCCCTCCTGACTGCCATTAAAGTGTAATTAGTAACTTCACATGGTAAATTTGTTTCTTTAAGAAGCCATCTATTTTTGGTTCTTGATAGCAGTAACCTTCTATCCAGGCATGGATTGCACCTTATCACACCAAGGGTGGGACAAAGGCTAAAAGAGAGAAATTCCGTGGTGCCTGCATGCTGTGGTCACTGCTCCTTCTCTTCCAAACCTCCCTCCTTTCTCACATGAGCCCTGTGAACAGAGATTGTGCTGCTGCCTCCATGCCAGGTGAGCTGCTCCTTGGACACACTGAAAAATCAGCAGCAAGGAAGGACTTTCAAAGCCATCACTGTCCTCTCCAGACTTCAGCAATCTGGTGACAAGGAAATGCTCAAGGTCATTCCCAAATGTAAATCTCCCCACTTTGCTGGCATTTCTCTCAGCTATGATACCAAGCCTACAGAGTTTCACATTCTTCACCACAATTATGACTTGGATATTCAAGTTCCCTCCTGTTATTTGACCTGTACATCCTTCATATATATATATATTTATTACCAAATCCAAAATTAACACTGCCCTTGAACAAAGAAAAAGAGACAGCAGAAAGAAATAATGCTGAATTATGTGGCACATAAAAAAAAAATCTCAGCTAGAAGTACAAAGGTCATTACAGCTGTTTTTTAGGAAAACAAGTAATCACAATAGTTTTTTCTCATTATTATTCAGTGGTTTTGAATAAGTATTACATGGTTTTCACTCCCAAATAACGAAAGGGGTCAGAAAATGACACACATACAAAAATATTATCAGTAATAGCTTTGCCAGTATAGGTCTAAAATCCTGGAGATTTTCAGAGCATGGCAGACTGAGGAGTGCAGTAGAAATACCAACAACCCAGCTCTTGCAGTCCACCAACATGAGCAGTATGGATGATGGGAAAAGCCCAAACCTTGCCAAACTTCCCATTAGAAAGGAACCTCTTATGGCCTACATTAGTTCTGCCAGTGGAGTAAGGTGCAAAGTTGTTTTTAAAAGTTCCATTCTTCTCAGAAAACAGAAAATGTGATGAATGGGCAGATTCTGTCCCTGGATAAATCTTTGTAACCATCACTTTCTTTGCATGGAATTTCACAGAGAAATTTATCTACCAAGGTAAAACCAAACAGAACCAATCAAGGTAAAACCAAACAAAGCCATTGCTCTCTGTGCTTTCCCTTTCAAGGGCAGCCACAAAAAAAACCCCAAACCAATCTCAAGTCATTCTGCCACTGATTGTGTGAATCACTGGCCTAAGCTTAGGTTCCAAAGATCCTGAGCAATCTCTCTCCACTGGCTTTCTCCAGCTCCATGAATTCCCTCCACAGCCCCAGCAGCCAAGCTGTGCTAACCCTGCAAGATGAAAATTCTCTGTAGCAGCCTCTCAAGTGCCAGGCTGGAACATAATGTTTGCAATAAGTTTTCTGTGTGTGCTGCAAGACCTCCCCACCTGATCCCTCACAGCCCTGGCTACGTTTGTGTTAGAAGAACACATAACACAGGGCCTCAGCAGAGCTGTTGATCAATAAAAATGTTCTCCTTAGAGAATGCCAGTGACATCTATAAACCTGTGAGTGTCAAAACAACGGCACAAAAAATCCTGTATTCCTACTGTCAGTGGGATGAAAGCTGTACAATTAATACCAAGCCAATGACACCACAAGGAGAAATAAAACAAACAGCTGGTGGTACTGTGGTCCAACATGCTGCTCCTAATCTATGAACATTTCCAGTGAAAACATGCTGACTCATGTTTTGAAAGAAATGGCATAAATCTGGTCAGTGGTGTAAAAACCCTACAGCATTAATTCTGAGTTACACACAGAAAATATCACACTTAAAATGCACAGATCCCCTGTCAAAGGAGAAAATAATTTGTGGTCACTTTGAGTGTGTCTACCTATTAATGTAAAGATTTTTAATAACCATCACACCTTTGAAAAACAAATCATGTGTTTTTCCTAAAACCAGCTGAAACCTCAGCTAGGTTGATAACATCCACTCCATTCTTGCTGAATGTCAGGGAAGCTTCATGAAGAGTTTTTCCCCCCTGGTTCTGTAAGACACCCAGCACTGATTCAGTGCTGCTGGTGATAACAACAGGAACATAAAATACAGGCAGGACTCTGTGCAGCTGTTGGCATTTTAACCACCTTGTCACCTTATTCATACATGACCTAATCCTTAAAATAACTCACTGAGAGATGCTTCCCTCATTATTGACAGGAGGACTAAAGTCATGCCAACAATTATAGAAAGCACAGGGGGAAAAAAAGGTGGAAAATAAGGTGGATGCAGGCTGTGGAGAGTGATGGATTTTGTTTGACAGTAAAACACAGTTTAACAAACACTGGGAAAAAGTAGGTGTTGAAAACATATGTTCTTTTAATCAGGAAAGGAGACCTATGTGGAAAAATGAGCATTTTTGAGAGGTTATTAGAACTCTTGTAACAAAAGAACTAAAAATACCACAAAAATGAACAAGACAGTATACCACGTGTGGTTTAAAACAGGTTCTCCTGCCAACTGAAGGTCCTGTTGGATTTATTACAGATAAAAAAAATATATTAAGTGCTACCAGATATATAATCTGGAGTGCTAAGTAACTATAATGAGTTAAAATGAAGTAAAAGAGCTCAGCTAAAAAGATAAAAAGACCTTCAAGGAAAACCAGACAGACTCATATAATTCAAGCACAGTGAATAGCAAAACAAAAGTTTAATTCTACTTTGCAAATTCAACATTAATAAGTCAGTTATAGAGTAAGATCTGCAGTATTTTATGAAGAAAAGTTGATACCATTTAGGATGCAAGTCCCTTTACGTTTTCTTTCTAAGGATCAAAAAAATCCTTGTTTTAGTCTCCCAGATGATGAAACATGGAGCAAGAAACATGGGATCCCACAGATTTGAACACAACTAAACCTATTCAGTTGCCTCTTTGTGTAAGCTAAGAGTGAACATATTAATTATTACCCAGAAGACAATATATTCAAGTGCAGAGTTTCTTCACACAGGAAGAAAAAAGAGACAAAGCAAGAAATAAAAATTGAAATTAGCAACATTAAGATTCTTTTCCTCGCCTTTCCTCATGAAGAGCCAAAACCTTCACAATATTGATTTCTATCTATTTTCTGTTTATCTGTTTTGTCCACTCCATCTCTGCCAGTTGCCCCAGGCAATCAACAAAGCTCTGCTTGTTCAGCCTTTGATCATCTCTGTGCTGGAAGATTAGCATATGCATACTCTCATCCTCCCCTTTATCCTGTTAATAAAGCTCCAAACTCCCTCCGCTGATGTTCAAGAAAGCAACGGGCTCGGGAGCCCCGATGATTTGCCCCCATTCCCTGCTCTGCTCAGGACTTGGAATGCTAAGTACCAGGCACGAGTTGTGTAAGTGCTTATCCAGCAGCCCTCTGAGGAGCAATTCTTACTTGTTTGATGCAGTCCACGTTTGACAGACGTTCCTGGATCAGATTGGCCCAAAGCGCGTTGGGAATTTTCTAAAGAAAGAACAAAAAAAAAAAAAAAAAAAAAAAAAAAAAAAAAAAAAAAAAAAAAAAAAAAAAAAACCAACAAAATTCATACAAAATCTCAGTGCAATTTACACAAAAATTACCTCATTCTTATCCCTCCACAGCACAGTATTTCTCATGGATGCTTGTGAGAGAAGAAAGCAAACATGGAGCACTGATATTTTTGTGAAATGCATGCACTGATTCCACTGCCACACAGAACTTATGGATTGTAGCAATGATTTTTTTTTCATGTTTCAATCTTAAAAATACTAACAAACCAACTTCTATCTCAAATAAAAACAACCCAAAACAATTTCTACAGTTTTGAAATATTCAAAAGGATACCAGCCCACACTGTGTATATATATATAAAAAAAAAAGGAGCTAAACAAATCTAAAGACAGATTTAATGCCAAGAATACTGAGGAAAATATGCATGCTTTCATTATTTTCTTAAATTATACAGGAAAACTCACAGTAATGGAACCAGCATTCCCAGAGCTAATGAAGCAACAGAGCAAAAGAAAGCAAAAAGAAAAAAGAGCCTTTTGCTCCCTTAAGTCCTTGTTATAGCCAGCTAAGTGTTGGATTGAGCATCTTTAAAAAAACATTTAGAGATGTGTGAAATACCGGCGGAGAGCTGCAGCCTCACTCAGTTTTTGTCTGATGCAGTATTTGAAATCTAATCCACTTCCCAGGCTCAAGCCTGAGTCTCCTGAACTCTCCCTAATTTATCTGTTAGTTGCCTGAGCACACCAGTCCTTGCTGTTATATCCCACCCCTCCAAATAACTTGGTGATACCGCAGGAAATCTGGGAGCCATCTTCGTGCTGAAATAAAGGAGATATTTTAATATTGCATTAGCTGGCAATCATTATCATCTCCCATATAAATCTGGTGCTCTGTCAGTGTGGGGTCCAAAGGTTCTCCAAGTATTTCAGGGAAATCTATCTCCAGGACTTCTGTGGGAGGCAATGGGCTATTCCAATTACACAAGAAAATAGAGCAGACTATTTAAAATTCTTTAATTAGCCTGGTTTCAGGAACATGTCATCCTGCTGACAGATGTAGAAAATACTAGACTCAAGTAACTGCAAGCCATTTTTGCCACTCCCAGTGTTTGCTCTGCCAAATTAGAATGAACCACTGGCTAAGGTCACACAGGTGCTGAGAAATCAATTTATCCCTTGGGACTTTGCACAAGGCAAAGCTGCACAATGTTTGTAGTGCTATGCCAGGAACTTCAGCTCCAGTTTGGAATATATTGTGTTTAAAATATATATATATATATATACATATAGGCCCAGATCTTCTAGGGAGAAATGGCATCTGAGTTCTGAGGCAAATAAATCGATGCCAATTTACACAGACTACAAATCTGGCTTATTTTCTCCACTCTGAGTGCAACCTTTTTGGAAATTATAACAAAACAAATGAAAAAAAAAGCCCCCCAAACCACCCCACAAAACCTGAAGTCACTACTGCTTATGGCTCAAATCACAGAATGTGCAACAGGCAGTAAACACAATACCATAACAATCCACAATCCATACTTTTAACAATCCTCAGCAAACTTCAAGAGGTTTACATACTAATTTCAAAGGTCCTTAAAACAGGCAATAAGCAATTTTATAGCAAAAAGTTTTGGCTATTTAGGAAAACAAAACTCAACAAATAGCTTCCTGCAGAAAATATATTTAAAATGCAAAATCAACACAGAGTACAAAAGCAGGGAGCATTTTGGAGCTGATTTCCAAAGGTCTCTGAGTTGCAGGGTATCAGTCAGTCCCTAATTAGAATATATTATCCATCTACTTGACACTTCAGTGAAATGTCTATTCCAGCACAGAGCTGCAGCTTTGTTCAGAACAGGTTTATTGATATTCTGCTGCATTCCCTCTCCATACCCCCAGTGGCTCGGTTCTGTTTTATCACACATCAAAAAGGCCGTATGCTCAGGGCACCCCATGCACAGCTCGGAGCTGGAGGTCTGAACAGCTGCAAGTAGTGTGGTATCACAGGAGGGACAAGCTCCAAGCAGATGTCACAGATAAAATAAAAAAAAAATAAAAAAAAACCTAAACCATAGCCTTGCTCACAAGCAGTGAAACCAGTGCTGGCAACAGGGAGATGGGTTTTGGGGATA